AGATGCGAGAATGCGTTATTAAAGATCGAGCGAAACAAATTTCAATGTAATTTGCATACTTATAGCGTTATATGCATTCACCTCCTTCGAATTCTCTCTCTTATATACCTTTCCTCTTTTCCAGTTTAATCGCTCCCGCAGATTAGGTTAATTGGATTCTCGTTATCCTCCTGACCAACATATCGTACGGTATGTCAGGAAGGCGCATCGATTTGCAATGTTAATCGATACGTGGAGCAGTTTTTCTTTATCTTTACGCGATACGAAACGAGTTGCGAGCGGCACTCGACGGTGCCATCGTATTTGCATGTTGCGTGGCTCTATTTGCGTTTAAAATTTGAAAATTGCGTAAGAAGATTGATACACGTACGAGAGATAAGCTTTCCCGGAGCGCAGAATTGAATATTTCAGTTTCAATTTCTTCCTCGCGCGTGCCCCTCTCCCCGCGAGTCACATATCGCTCTCCGGGGATCGATTACGTTAATATTAATCGATGGAAAAACTATTTTTAATCCGTAGACGGCATCGTGCGAGCTATAAATAAACGAAAGCCGCACGCATTTTTATTTTGCATGCCGCGGCAGTTAGGAGCACGGAATTGCAGGCGGTTTTGCATTATTAATTCGTTTGCATTAATAATCCGGGAATTTTTCGTCGGAGAGTAATAACAAGTAGATTATATTACTGATAAATACTTTCGCATTATAGGATCGAGCATATCAGTCCTGCGTATACCACTTCTTTTTCACACGTTATTATTAATGTCAGAAATTCATATCTTTCGGTGAGATCGTTAAATGAAAAGTTTCCTAATAACATGCTAAGAGAAATTTATTTCAGGCCCTTAACGCATATCCATTAACGCAAACGATTATGATGAAAAGCTCTCGCGTTGTTTGCAAGCGCAATATAATATTAAAAAATATATGCTCAAAATTTGTGAACAAGCGTATAATGTTTTATTAACGATATTAGCGTTAGTAACGAACTTTCGTGCCTGTTCATTTATTAAATTTTGCCTGTCACGCTGTCGTCGCAATTTAAATGTAGACTCATTGCGCTGTGTAATTAGCAGAATTTTTAATTCACGTTTTTTATCGAGCTCTCAATTTTGACCGAACTGAGGAAATGCTATATTTATTGAATGTGTTTGTAGGATAGGGGTCAAATGTTAACTTTTATTTAATAACTTCTATTCGTATATTGGCAAAAGTTTTCCGACGAGATTAATATATCACTTATCGTCGAGATGCGTGCTAACCGGGGTCGGTCGATCATGCGTGCAATCGCCAGTTGGTCATACGCCCTTCGCGCCCTTTCGTGAACTTTCGTTTACGTGCGTAGAGAATTGTTTCAGGGGTTGTTCCCGTTACATTTATGCGGCACGGCACGTATAGCGACAAGGTAACGCGACGAGTTTCATAATTTGTGCGAATGATAATGCCGTTCGCGCGGCACGAAACACTCATCGCCGCGGATCTGTAGCATGACGTTAACTTTGTTGCTGAGTTTACATTTCGGTAAAAACCGGCTCGCGTGCAGTTGCAACGCTATAGGTCTTTTTTCGCAGATGTAGGTTCTCAAATCTTCCGTTCGTATTTCATATTTAATGCTGCAATCTGACGTGTATATTGTTGTTTAATTTAAAAAGTTCGTGCAGGGAACATTAATCTTACAAGTCGTACAATTAAAATGTTTTAACACTGAATTCATCAAAGATCGCGCGTTAGATCTAGCTCGACGGGCTAGAAATTTCGAGGTGATTAAGCGAACGAGGAGAACGAGAGAAAAACAAAAGTGGCAGAGAATTAGCACTCATTATCTCCGGACACAATGCCCGCGTCGTTGCGGCAACGAGATCGATTTGACCGATTAATTAAATTACGGAGATCGCTCGTTGGGCAATGCCTTAATTAGGCGAGTTTCATTCGTGCAAACGCATTCGCGTCTCCGTGTTGATTACGGAGATCGGCCGGAAGCCACTCTGAAAGAGGAACGCTCTGATTCCCAAGATAATCCGCGCGCGCCGGGTTTTTTTCTAGGATCCTCCCGCTCTCGTTAGTGGCGCAATTACGGGGGAAAGTGTGTTCGGCCACGGCACAAAATTACCCACATCGAAGTGGATCGCGCGGTATTTACGCTTTAATGACACCGCATTTTGCGCGAACTTTCCACCGCTTTTGCCCTCCGCCACCTCCGCCACCGGCCCTGCCTCTTTAATCAGCTGCGCAAATGGTGGATACGGGAACTTTCAGACACGTGCAACTTTTAAATGGTTTTGTCGAGCGTGTCGTGAATCGCGATCCAGCTGTGTAATCGCTCGACCAGCGTGCTTTTAGTGCGCCATCAGGGTTAATCCTTTTTAGGACGGACAAATTTTCGAAGCTGCCCTTTGCAGGAGCGTGATAGTTTATTTTGGCGCGACGATGTAGGACAAGACGACTTTCCAAATTTATTTCCTGAAATATGCAGAAATGTGAAAGATAAATATACAAAAGAGTTCCTATATTGCAACGAATCTTAATAATCAATAAATAACTTAAAAAAACCACCAGACATTTGTAATTATAGAAGATAATTTTAAATTACTAAAAGAGATAGAACTATAAATCTGCAGAAATAAATACTAGTATACGCTACAAAAAGGCGCTTTTTTAAATTGCAAACTGTAACGCTATGATATTTGCCTGCTGTATTTAACTGCTTGGCCGTCATAAATATCACATCATGAATAAATACAGAGACAAACAGACTTCTTTAAATAAATAATAAAATATCTTGTAAAAATTTTTTCGTGAAACTGACGAAACGCACAATTCAGCGTAAAACGTCGTTTCATAATTTTCTCAAGGCATAATAACGTAATATTCTTTGCCGCGAGTCGGCGACAGAACCTGGCTGTTAATATTTTATTGCTTACCGATATTTACTAGTTTACGCGGTTTGCAAAGCTAACGGCGGTCGACAAGAGACCTTATTCCTCGAAAAAATAAATTCTTTTTTCTCAGACACAAAAGCGTTAAAAGTTGAACACTTTACGACAATGAGCATAATGTGAAATAAATAACTATAAGACAAAATAAGAAGAAAATAGAAATATATAAGTAACAAATATGTAATAAATAATTCATAACAATCCAGACATTAAGCAAAAATTGAAACAATCATATATGGCTATTATAAGCGACATGTAATATTTTACATCTTTAGTGCAAAATTTTTTTCCTAAAATATTGTCTGTCATTTTTTTCTGTTAGACATTATATTTAGAAAAAAATATTTCACATTTTTCATCGCAGAAAACAAATATTGTTGCCCTTTAGGAGGACTCCCTCAACTTCATACGCGAACGAGTGTGATCCTAATTCTAAAATAAGCCCACAATCAATCCAGCAGCAACCGCCCTCCTTTCGATCAGCGAAAGTGCTCGCTCCGGCTTAAGGGTTAAGGTGACGACGAATTACAAGCGCGGCTTTAATGCCGTGCAGCCACCGGCCGACACGCGCGTCGCGTCGCGTCACGTCGCGACGCGCGCCCCGGGGAGAGAAAATCGGCCGCGGCCGCGGCCGCCTTGAAAACCGGCCGGTTAAGGTAAAGAACTTCGTGTCGCGCGTATCGATTTCGCGGTCAGTCGAGCTCGCATAGGGGAACGCGGGGAACGGGAACGCGAGGGGAAGGGTTGAAAATCTTCGCGTGACCGGTCGCGGGGCCGGCCTCGCACCCTCGCCCCTCGCCACCCTCGCGCGGCCACACGAGAGTCTCCCGCCCTGGCGACTGCGGCACCCGCAATCACTGACCGAAGTCACCGGAGACCGGCCGACGGTGATGGCCGCTCGTTGACTTACGAACCGCCGCGTCGCGATCCCGTTTCCGCCCTCATCAATCCACCGTGATCGTCTTCGTGCCCGCATCTTCTCCCGGCCACTCTCTCGGGGCGGCTCACTCTCTTCGCCGATGTTTCTGCTTGTCCCCGCGCGGATCTGCCGTCGGCGTGTCTACCGCGAGTTCGAGAACGGCAATCACGCCATCGACATCCACCGATCGCCCCCCATCAAGTTCCCTAAGGAAGGTGGTTCTTCTCCATCCGGCGAAGGCGTCGCGCGTAGGTAAGGGGTTTCCCCGATATATTGCGATTTGCGCGCGCGGACAGAGGGATGGGACCTGCGCGGTTCCGGAATGCACCGCCGCGGTTTTGGTATATCCGTGTGAGAATTTTGGGTTGCGATTAGCCTCGAGGAATCTTCCGCTCTTCGTCGATCGTGATTTGGTTCGCCGGGCGGACGATCCGAGTCACGAAACGCTTTTGCTACTAAATAAATGTTTGCGTTTTTAAATGCACATTTTATGCACGCTAGCTTGTATAGTTGTCGTTTGTCTATTTAAGAGAGTCCCTTTTACTTTGAAACATTTGGAAATATTAATAGAAATCAATATTTTTATGACTGTTATAAAGTAAATTGCGACCTTGATGTAAAATTCGCACCATCAAGCAAATCTAAATATTACGTCTCGCTCGAATAATCTCGGTCCTTCTCAGTTAGCGTGTGATCAATACTTTCTGATATTACTATACATTTTACACATGACTCATATGTATGTATACAGGTGTATATAGGTGCTAATAGTCTGTGCAGCTAATGTAAAATCGATGATAATTTTTCAGGGATAAATTGCCAGACGTTAACGCTGCATAAAGTAAATTAAATAAATGAGAAATCATATACTTTCTCATCACTTTCTCATTTTAATAAAAGATTAACCAACATAATTCTAAATATAATAATTTCTAAATATATAATAATCGTGTACATCTGTCAAGATTATACTTAAATACACATTTGCTCCTGCCTGAATATTTAATAGAAAGGAATAAATACTTATATACTATTATATAAATTAATATACGATTTAAGTACACGATCAATTATCTAAATTAAGTGTATGCTCTACAGATTTACTCCTCAAAAATAAAAATAACACGTATTTCGATTCTGTTGCAGTGTCCTGGGGTCCAGCGACGAGAAGCAAGGCGATAGTGAAAAACTGTTTGCACGTTGGGGGAGGTCCTTGAGTCAATACTGCAAGTGCTGCTCCGGCATGAGGTGCCTCGCTTGCCGTAGGGATCCCAAGGGTCTCTTGTGGACCAGGAAGCAAGGGAGGACAACGGTGATCAACGATATCCCGCCGCCTGTTGCAACCCCCGCCCTCGATGCCCCGCCGCCCGATGCTACGGACGCGTTGTCGTGCTGGTCGAAATTAAAGGCGCGGTGCAGGTACCGTTTAACAACTTGAATTTCAAACGTCACTTACCTGTTCCACCGAGCAAATAACAATTTGCATTATGTATACCTATATATATTTTTATTTTTCTAAAAGAAATTCGTAACAATAATATAATTTGATCAGTTTTATGTCTTTACTAAAATTACCAACTCCTATTAATATTTGATTTTTTACGTATTATCAATTTTAAATTAATATTTAGCGATTAATATTATTAATATTAATAAGAGTTGATAAATATCTGTTTGTTTATATGTTATATTAATATTGAAATCGTTTTCGTCGATTGCCTTTTTTAATTAATTATAGATAATTGTTGTGTCGTACATTTGACTTTCGTGAGTCATTGAGTATAGATAGTATATCATATTATAAAAGAGTAGAAAATTTATAAAGACAATGATGTGATGAAAACAGGAAATTTATATCAGAAAAAGTATTTCCTGTTAAAGCATCACGGCACGAAGATACTCCATCGTATGGGTTTCTCAGTTTTCACTCTGGAACTTGTTATCTTTACTTAACCGCGAACTTGTTTCCAAAACTTTCTAGACTCTTGTAATTTTCCCTTACTTCCTTATCTTTTTTTCCTCTTTCTTATTATTATCTCTTTGCTGTACTTTGCTATTATATATTTTTATTTTTAATTTCTAGACTTTATGGACGTAATTTGTCCGATCTTTGAAGGTCTAATTTCAGTTTTGAAATATTTTAACGCTTTTTGTTAAACATTCACATAAATTAAAATTTAGATTCACCAAAAGATATATTTAAATTTTCTAGACGTCTTTTAGAAAATTGACGTAACAATTCAGGAAAGGAGACTCGCGTCGTTTCTCGAAATCTTGGAATTTTGTGTTTTATTGCTATGTTACTGAGTTACTTGAAGTCAGTGAGAATTCTGGAAAAATTTGAGAAATTCGCAAAATATTAATCGCGTCGCGAAAATGTTTCTTTGACAGATGCGTCCGTTTACGAGAAAGATTACGAGAGGTCAAGTGTTGCACGAGAAAATCGAGGATCGCTCCTGCCGAGTCTACCCCTTGCTGCCCGCCCGAGAGAAGATGCGGTGCGCTCTGCCGTCGTGCGTTCGGCTGCTGCAAGTGCAGCTGCAAACGCGCGGACACGCAACAACGCACAAAAAATACACGTGCCAAGCACAGTCTTACAAGCGTGGCGCCGCCGCCCCTGTCGGAGGTACGTGGACACCGTTTGCCGAAACAAAAATTATTGTTACTGTCGAGCGGACAAACCGCTTTGCATCCTTCAAGTTTTTTTATATGAGCAATTTGTTCGATCACTTCGATCCTGGAAAGTTAAGTTTTAGTCTTGGAATATTTCTTGGAATATTATTTGGAGCACTGTTATTTTTTTTGCAAAAAGTTGTAATTACTTGAATATCACAAAACTTGCGATTATGTTTTTGATAATTACAGTTTTTTTTTTAATATACAGCGGATCTGTTTCAATATTTTTAAAAGCTTCGCGTTAGATTAAAGCGAAGAAAGTTTCAAACAGGGTGAGTTAATATTTGTGAAACAGGCATCTTATTTAAACATCCGGGAAATACAACAGGGTTCGGTTCGCACGGCAGGAATATGTAACGTTTTAGAAATCATTTTTAGACATCACAGGTCGGTTTTTTTTTTACTTATAACACAAGAATGCGTAATGTCGCAGGAACCGAGGACTAAGATACCGGATGTCCTGGTGGAGCATAATTCTGTCATGCGCGGCGCCATCCCTTGTCTGCCGGTCCCTCTCGCCTGGTTTTGCCTAGTGTGGAACTTCCTACTGCCGGGCACTGGTACGATTAATTTAAATATTGATACCACTATCTCTCGCGAGAGCGAAGCCTTCCGTTGGGAAGCCACTATCGATTTCTTAAATTTTCAAGTGGTTTATCTCTAAGTAAAATCAGTATTTCCCCTCTGATGAAATTGAATTGAATTCAGGAACTGTTTGGAGCGGCCTGTTCAACCTGTGCACCGGACAGCCGAGATTTTCCGCCGTCGCCGGATTGAAATCACGACTCGGTGCATTTATCGTCAATCTCATCGTCGGGGTGGGCCAACTGTTTACCGTTCTGTTCTGCCTTGTCGGATGGGGCTGGAGCATTTGGTGGGGCGTCACCATGGTCCGCTTAGCTAGTAAGCATTCTGTGATAGCTTAAATAAAACTGTCTAGTTACCGAATTATTGGTAGAAAGTATTCGAGTCTATTTGCAATAAGTCAAATATTTGATTTTAAATTAAATAGGATTTAAAATTATGTCATCATATAAAAAATAAAAATCTACATTTATTTTCTCTCACGTGTATGTGACATTTTTATGTTTTTTCAAGTGTTATTCTTTATTGAGAGAGAGAAAATGTTTTTAAAACTGATCGCGAATTATTTTCAAAGGATTAATCCGGATAAAATTTTGTGAATTCTGGACTGAAATATAATAAAATTCCAGAATGCATGACGCGGCATATAAAGCGCATTAAATTACAGGGAAGTACAAGCGATTCAAGGTTTCGGAGGCCGCTAGCAACGATCCTGAGGCCAGAGGGGGCGAGCCAGCTTCCTTGCCTCCCGGCGTGCCGAGTCAGGCTCTGCGAGGGATGGAGAGGGCGCGATGATGCATTTTTAATGAAGAGGAGAGCGTGACCGTCCTCCGCTTATCTAAAGATATTTTGTATTTCGTTCGACAAGTCTTCGTATTTTGCTTAATATCGATCGTTCCGAATTGAAGACTATCGTACGTGCGAAATAAAATTGTGTCGACGCGAATATAAGCATCTTGTACAAACGATTATATATATATTTGTGAAGACGATATATATTTGTGAAAACAATTAGTCGATAAGAACTTTTCTCGGCTGCGATCGAGTAACGGACGGAGAGTGAAGATTAATTAAAAAACTTGGACGGTAACATGGCAAGCCGTACGAAATAAGCTCGGCAACTAAAAAAGGCTGTAAAATCATTAAAACAACTTGGTACCTTTATCTCGTGCCTTTTTCCTTCAATCATTTCTTTTTCGCTACTCTTACAAAGAAGGAAAATCTTTTTATCGCAGCTTGTAATAGAATCTGTAAGTATAAGCCAGGAATCTTCTAACAAAACTTTTTCTCTCGCGCGGCTTAGCATGTTATTACATCAAAATCTTCACTTCAATGAGAAGTTTCTCGAAAGATAGTATCGCCGAGATTCTCTTGCAGGATGCTGGTAAAGTCTTTACTCTATTTTTCCCAAGTCAGGAGTGGCGCTCATATCGCATTATGGTATCTTTTTAAATTATTTATATTGTATTTTATAAAGAAAAAAATTGTCCTCAATCTCGATAAATAATTGGCATTATTTCTTATATTAACGATATTATTAATTGGAAACAAATAATTTCAGTTACAAGAAGCTCAGAGTTTTCTTATCGAGTTAAGGAGGCTCGAGCTTTGCAACAGTTCTCTCGCAAGCGTTGAAAATTTTGTTCTCGCAGGAATTAAGCTCGATAGCGGGACTAAGCTTCCATAAAAATGGACGAAGACTTCGCGAGCGTCCTGCATTTTTCTACGCAGCGGAAAACTTTCGTTCTCGTCGACGAAAGGTTTCAGTTTTTGTAAAGTTAGCGCTCGTACGCGCGCAAAGTTCGCGGCCTATCAGAATATACGAAAACGTCCTTGAAGATTAATCGCTTTCAGTGAAAGCATCTTTAACCCGAGGCGTTCTTTCAAAATGTACTCGTTGCGTCGATGAGGATGATTTACGGGAGGCGGATCGCATTTGGCGGCGACGTCGCGATATTGAATTGGCGTTCTGGTATGCGAGGTAGACTAATTAGACTTATACACGGTAGCTAAGCTCGGGGCGGGGATTACCGCAATCTCCGGAGTGACACGGTCTTGAAGAGGGATATATCGATGGGATAATTACGTTTTGAAAAAACGCGCTTTATATTTTTACAAGCGCAAAACATACACATATACATTATGTACGAGTAATCGAGACTTACCTAGAATTAGACTTATACTTATAACTCTTGTAAATATGAAAATACATTACTTACGTCAATTTTTAATGTAACCCCCTGCCTCTAGAAGTTCTTGCATTCCCCCTTCTTCCTCCCTATACGCGATCGCGACTACCTTTCGCACATGCGCCTTTACATACATACATACATCTCTATTATTTTTCTTTTTCTGTTAAACTAGTATACATTTTGCTCGTCTATCCTACATTTTCATTAGAATGCAGCTTTATTTATATTTATTGAATTGTCTAAGAGAGAGACGTTCGTGCTCTCTGAGTCTCTGAAATAAAATGTCACGCGACTGGATTTTCTAGCTCATTTCCTTCCGCGTGCAGAAGGGTTAAAGCAGGAGGAGGAGACATCGTCAAAGTGACAGGACAAAGAACGATAAAGTGAGCTGGATTTACGAGAGAAAGCTCATTCGATGGAATTTACTGCTGTTTCACTGTCGTCTCGCGTATTACAAGGATGCTCAAGTTCAGAGAAACGTGCGCATGCTCGTGAAATACAAAGGATCCAGCGAAACTACCCTCTATACAAGCATGCAAATCGATCGCATGCCCAAGCAGCTCTATTTCAAGCGGCCGTTATCAAGATCGCGTTATTTTCGTTGTTTTTCTTTGTCGCAGCGTTCGCGCGCCTTGGTTTCAAACGCGCGGTTTTGGATCGTGCGTATATGTGAAGATGTGGTCCATGTGGTCCGTGTGATCTGTGTGGACGACCGCGAGCTGTCTCTGATGGATCTGTATGTATGTCGATCTGCCTCGGTGGGTATTCTTTTCATCTACGAAATCCTGCAACTGTTCAATTCTTTCAGTTAGTTCGGTGATTGATTTCTCTTCGATCAAAACCATGACTGATGTGATAAAAAAAAAATATATCGTCACACGCTTCTTTGCAAGGTGACTCGCGTTTAAAACACAGCGGCCGAAAGGGAGGCAAATTAGAAAGGAGCGAGGTGCCGATCGATTATGTTACGTCATCAAGCGGTTATTTTGCGCCGGCTTCTCTCTTTTTCAGAAACATTATTTTCAACAGAGATTGAAAATAATCTCCCTTTCCGGCGCGCGTAGAGCTCTTTCCCTCTGATATTTCGCGATGCGATCAATTTTCAACTGCGTTTACAAAGCGCGCCCCGCGTATACGTTTTTGCTTTTGCACACACGTCCGTCTCGTCGGTGCATCGGTCGGTTAAATATACCTTTTTAGCGGCGCGAACGCGCCGCGATTGCAGTTATGCCCGACATTCGTGCCTCTCTCTCTCTCTCTCTCTCTCTGCTCTGGATATACCGTGCAAAATTCGCGAAATTCGAGGCGATCCGATTCGCGGCACGCGTGTATGTACATACGCGCCGCGCGAGGATGCACCGCACAAGTGCATGCACGATAACGCGCGCGCACGAATTTGTGGCAATTACGTCGGCAGTTCGTTCGTCCGTTCGTGAAAATTGCGGAGGCCGGAGGCCGGGACGCGTGTGTGTTTGCTCCGCTATGCGGTGATATACGCGCGCCTTATCGGCCGCAATTTATCGCGACCATGTTGCATAAACTTTCGCGCCGACTTTATGCATCCTTGCGGAGAGGCCGAGGGTATAGATCTATAGGGTATCCGTCGCTGAGGTTTAATTGCGCGGTTTCTCCCGCATTATTTTACGCGCCGTGCGATCGAATTAATTCGCCACGGTCGCCAGAAACGCAAAAATAAAAGAGAGAGAAAAATTGGCCGTCCCCGACGGGTCGGATATGACGCGAAGATTTGTATCTCTCGAGTGCATCGAGCAGGAATGTACTTATATGCGCGCTTGGTAATCGATTTATGTTTCGTATTACGTGATTTATTCGTGGGACGTGTATTAAAAACGCGAAAATTGTTTTCTTGCGAAGAGAAAGAGAATATCCTATTGAGATAATGGACAAACGTATTATAGATAACGAGGAGGAAAAAGACATCGCAAGAGATGTAATAAAACTAAAAAGAAGTCATTTTTGTGTCGAACGTCGTTATTATAATTGCAACGGAAAAGTATAACGAGTAAAGTGTAACTTTAGCTTAGCCACGTGAATCGCAAGAAAAATTCTCGGAAGACGACCTCGATTCGTAGAAAAAGTATGAAAGAAAGTATCAGAAAGAAAAAGTATGCGTATAGCAATTAATTTGCGATTAAATCTCATTAAACTGGATAACGTTACTTATAAAGTATAAGAGTCTTATATAACAGAGTTAAATCGGTATCAAACAAAACGCAAGAGAAATAAAAATGCAAAGCATGCACTCGTTTTTCCTAAATACGAAGTGTGAGAGCGTTTAATTGTTGAAGTATACGGTAAAATATTGAAATTATTTTGTTAAATAAACAAGGTGTAATTGTATAAAACCCGGTATATTTTGTACCTCCGTTGTCGACCTTCCTGGCGAACGATCACTGTTTTTTGCAACAATCGCAATTGCACAATCTCGCTGGAAAATGTATTTCTGAGTAAGTAGTATATATAGTATAATTAGGGCAGGTGAATGTTATTGGAGGGTGAGTCAAATTAAGATTAAGGACACACATTGAAAAAAAAAATTTATATATGTATATATGTACATGTATCTATAGTAGAAGCGTGGGAGAGTGAATTGCTTGGCGGAGTGAGTGGAATAAGTCAAGGTATATTAAGCCAGTAAGAGTCTTTGAATTTTAATGCGATTCACCCGCCAAAAACCTGTTCACCTGCTCTACTAATATCTCGGAATTAGCTCAACCATTATTAAAAATTTAAACTTCAAGTAGAACTTGCTCTAGCAAATTATTGGCGTCAAATTTAAAAATATTTAGTGCCGAATCAATATTAAAAAATTCTCGATGAGAAAAGATTCTTGATCGCAGAAATGTTCGGTATTAAAGAACTGGAGCATAAAGAGAAAAGTGTCAATTATATATATAAAATGTCTTTCAAATTGATTAAATTGACTCGGTAGATGAAAGAAAGTGCGATAGATTCTTGGACGCCATGTATATAACGTAGTTCGTAAAAAAATTAAGTAAAGTGTGGTGCATCTCCTATATCTTTTCTTCTACATTTTTCATAATCTGTTATTAAAAATTGATTGCATCAAAATTACTTTCCGCCAACGAGCTATTTATGTTGTGTAGTTGCAAAATAATAAAATTAAATTAAAAATAAGAAGAAATCAGTTAAAGTCCTTAAGATTGATTGTTCTGTTTCCGAGTTATCGATATTATGCCATGGTATATGGTGTGGGTGTCAATGAATCGAGTCGCTGACGCTGGATATATATATATTGAGTAGTATATGTTTTAATGATGTGACTCCATAATATGTCAATATGCACAGGTAAATATTCTTGTCATTATAATCGACGTGTTACAGTGTGTAATGTGATACGATAGTAGTAGTCGGTTTATAGTAACCACTTCTTTCTTTTTTCTCGTATATAATTAAGAACTTAAAATAACTCTAAAGAATAAACTACATCACTATCGGCTAGCGACTATTTAGCGATAATAATAGCCTACCATGTCTTTTACTAGCGGCGCTCGATGAGTGTGTATATCGTTTTTTTTTTTTTACTACTCTTTCCTCCCTCTTATATTTCCTTTTCCCTAACTGTGACCTATCCCCTGTAAATCTGTCGCCTTCAATCCTAGAAGTACCAAGTACGTGCGAGAACTATGAGGAAAAGTTTCGTCGTAACTTAATCGATATTGCTTCGATATCAATTTCTGCAGAACCTCGATGCTTTCAGAAAAAATAAATCCTGCTTCATAACAATCACTATCAAGAGTAAAGGAAAAAAAAGAACACTTTGTATATATACGCAACGTGATATGAGAAAAAAGAAAGCTTGGTACTTCTGGGATTAATGTTACCGATTCACGCTCGCTGCTTCGCCTCTGTCGACCGCTCGAGAATGCATATCCGTTGCGATTTCCATGCAACGTTTCAGAAACTACCCGAAGAAAATTCGTCTTTCATCCTGCATTGCGCTTACTGCAAATCATGTCCGATCTGATAGAAATTTAATTAATAATAAAAAAAACCCGTTAAGCACACGAACAGGTGTGTCGAAATTTTAAGTGCATCTAAAGACTTCAACGCGTGTTTTTCGCGCACGTTTAGCGCTGCTGTCACGTTTCAACGCGAAGTTTAAAGGAATTAATTGTCCCGCCGAATCGTACCGACAAACAAATTGACAAACGGCTTTGTCGTCAAACAATTATGTCGCGGCTCGACAAGCTCGCAAATTATTGTTCCGAAATTTGCACAAGTTGCACATTATCAGAGGATGAAAGCGCATCGGCCCCGTCGATGGGACAAAACGGCGCGACAATTACGCGGGTGGATGATACAAATCCGCGAGATACGACGAGAAGCGGCGTGATCGTCAGTGTGCGTTCCCCGCGAACAGAGAAAATTTGTGAAGCAGATGATAGTTTCTAGACACACATACAGGCGTCCCGTATATAACTTCCTACAGCGTGTATACCGGTGTGATAGTTACATAAGAGTGGGTGAGAAGAGTTGCCTCTCGTATTCGTAGAGATGTAATATAAGTTTATATAATATATAGATGTATATGTATAAATATATGTATATTATGTATATCATATATATGGATGTGCGTGGGTCGTGGTAGTGGTAGTGGTAGTGGTAGTGGCTGTGCTGTTGTGTTCAGTGTGTGACGGTATAATATGTGTATATATCTATAACTATATAATTTTTGTTTGCGAGCAGAGTTCTGAGTTCGCAAAGCTCGTGTACATGCGATTTTGAATGTCGTTCGGTCGTTTATCCTTCCTCTCAGCTTCCTTTACCTTCCCCGCCGGCGATGAGCGCCGGAAAGGAAGCGCGATGCTCGCCACGCGTTTTTTCTTTCGCGTCGACGTACCCTTTTGCCGCCTACACTTTTAATATTAATTCCGCTGAATCGTTCGGCCATTTTTTTTTTGGTTTACTTTCTCGAGATGTGCATTCGCCACGTGAAGGTGAGAGTTGTGCTTTCTCGTAAAAGAGCAGAGGGTATAAATCGGATTAAAATTGAAAGTAACTTAATTGAAGTCATCGAAAAAAAAAACTTAATGGGATATTAATTTTTTATTAAAAATGAAGGAATGCTAATACCAACAGATTTCGAAGTTTTATGCTAAAACTTAAATAAATAAAGATTTAGTATCTTACATATATTTTTTTTAAATAAACATCTATAAACAGCTTCGTTTATTTTAAAATATATTTCGAGAAGATATTATATTAATTAAAAGTAATAAAAAACATAACGCGCGTGTGGTGTACGTGGGTATGTTGATGGTTTCGAATACACCTAAACCTTCAAGATGATGATTAATTTCAACCCGATTCGTTCCTCTATCGAATTCTAGCCAGGCGTTTGTCACCCTCACGTGCGTATTTCACGCAATTTCCGCTTTCATTCTCTCCCTCTCTCTCTCTCTCTCTCTCTCTCTCTCCCACAAAAGTAACAACCATTCTCTCTAATGGAGCTATTTCTATTTCTCAATGCATAAAACATGAGCAGAGATCGCACATCCACGTTGTCCGATCGCGTGAAAGAATCAAAATCTTCTATTAGGCTGCCTGGTTTAAAAGGGGGATCGATTTCCGGGGGTGCGACGGGGTGCGACGCGCGTTTCCGCCCTCCCCCGGAAAAGAATCACGCTTGGTCGAAAGGGTTAACAATTCCAGAACTAGATTTCAATACTTTATATTTCATGTCCAGTTTTTTTTTTTCTATATATATTCTCATATAGAATCTGTAGATATACATTCTTGGCAAATTCGAAAAAACTGATTCCAAAATAGGAACAGATCATTGTGCGAACTATGTATACAGGGTGCAATTTGTGAGAAACACACGTGTCGTGTCGTGTTCTGCTCGATACTATACATGTCTCTTTTCTGTATTTTTTTTTTTATGTTCTTATTATCCTTCCTCTTTTCCGGGTTGCCTGAATTACGTCTTTTACTTTTTTTTTTTTTCATTCTCCTCTCTCGCTTTCGCTTAATTCTCTCTTTCGTTTCGGCATTTCTTTTTCATCTGAACGGT